AACCCCCCCTCCCCACGCCACCCACACACCCACCCACTGGGTCCGTAAGTAATCGAATTCGTCTCACTTCGAGAGCCAACGAGCTCTCGTTACATACAGCCCAGTGAAATTGAACGTAAATACCCGGCGGACGAGCGAACGGCTTCCGTGACGACAATTTGTCCCGGTCGACGTGATTATCCGAAAATAAGCGCCACCGGCTACGGATGTGACTACGCGAGAGCCCTAGGCTTGTTACGCGGCCCCGTTCCCTCGGCAAGGACACTTTTCCAGGGATATTTTAGTTTTTCTTTCAGGCCGCTCGACGGTTCCTTGGATCGGACTTTCGAATGTCTTATTCGGAAGATATGAATTTTTCGGAGGATTCGCTTGAGGTTCAGAAGAATTTCAATCTAACCTTCAGTAACTCTCCTAAGCATCAAATCTTACACAAAATTCGATGAGAAACTATCAAAATACAATACCCAATCCACTTTCGATCTAACCTAGAGTAACTTTCCTGAGCATCAAATCTTTATACAGAAAATTCGATGAGAAACTATCAAAATACAATACCCAATTCAATTTCGATCTAACCTAGAGTAACTCTCCTAAGCATCAAATCTTCATACACAAAATTCGATAAGAAAGTCAGTTACTGTAGGAGTCAATGAAAGTTTGAATTCGGTGAGTCGACGATTCGCACTTTGATTCTGATATAAGGAAGTAGGACTTAGAGTTGTAAATGTTATAGGCTAATGAACACGTGAACAGAAATTCGTTGAGTTCGCACATAGACCTTCTGAAGATTCGGATGTACAAGCCTAGTCTCCACTCTGACACCACTGAAATATAACGAAGAAAGAACTGCACCCAAGACTCTCAAGCGTCAGTGCACCGCTGTTCACCGTCGAAACGACAGAAGGCATCGCGAGGGCAACACAGATTTTCCAGAAACGCCGTCGGACAATATCGGCCTGGGAAAACATTGAAACGCGGAAAGCGTAAGCGAAGAAAGGGAAAAAATAAATAAAGAAAATGGGATGAACAGAGAGAGACAGCGGGAGAAAGGGAGAGAGAGAGAGAGGGATAAAGTGAGAGAAACAGATTCACAAAAGCAGCAGCTATTTCGGGCGCAAACATCCGGAGAATGCGGGGACGACATCGAAACGGAAGTGGCCGCGCGGAGTGGCTTTAAAAAGGGGGCCAGAGCGCAAATCGGCCGGAGGTAATCCTGGAGAGGACCAACGCCAGGGACGAGAGGGTTCAGCGTCTCTTTACCAATCGCAATATCCGACTGAAACGTCGAAGAAACAAAGGCTTAGCTGGAAACCAAGGAACGATAGGACAACAAGACGGAACATGGGGGAGGAAGGAACAGAGGGAAGCTCGCCCGCTCGCTCTTTAGCGCGCGCGAGCGTGAGGAAGAGGGACAGAGCTGGCCCGATTGTTGGAACGCGGAAGAGCCATCGATGCTCGGCCCGTTTCTATTTCCGTTTTACATCCCGAGCCCGCGAGAGTCCTTCTTCTTCTTCTGCTGCTGCTGCTGCTGTTGCTTTTTCTTCTTCTTCCTCTTCTGTTGGTGCTGCTGCTTCTTCTTCGTCCTCTTCTTCCTCTTCTGCCGCTGCTGTTGCAGCTTCTTCTTCTGTTAGTGCTGCTTCTTCCTTCTCGTCGTCTTCTTCTTCTTCTGCTGCTGCTACAGCTTCTTCCTCTTCTTCTTCTGCTGTTGCTACAACTTCTTCCTCATCTTCTTCTACTTCTCGCTCCTCCTCATCTTCTTCCTTTTCTGCTGCTGCTACAACTTCTTCCTCTTTTTCTATTTATTCCACCTCATCTTCTTCTTCTGCTGCTGCTACTGCTGCAACCTCTTTCTTCTTCTGCTGCTACCGCTAATAGCTTCTTCCTCCTCTTCTTCTTGTTCCGCAGCAGCTACTGCTTCCTGCTCTTGTTCTCTCGCTGTTATTTCTTCCTCCTCTTCTGTCCCTGCTTCTCCTTTTTCCTCTTCTACAGTCCATCCATTGACAGAGGACCAAAGAACGCAGGAAAGAGGATAAAACAAAAGCGAAACAGGTTGCCACGTTTTCTTCGACGCAAGCTATCCCCTATTCCTTCAGCTTCAGGCCTTTCTATAGCCACTGTTCCCGCTGCACTTGGATCCCTCTTTCTGTTCCTCCGTTTTCTATGGACAACAATTGCGGAACGGTCCCTTTGACGCGCTGGTTTTTGGTCATGGCTTCGAGATGGACGGGCTTTTAAGCATGTGGAAGGAGTCGTGGCAGATGAGTGGTGTCTTGAGATGTTTGGGTGGGTTCGAGATCTTAGGGAAATGGTCTCACGGTTTTGTTCGATAGTTTGCGTGATTTTCTCCGCGATTTTTAGGAACTAGGTAGTCTATTAGAATAGTTATTTATGAATTAGAAAATGTTCGATCGATAAGTTACGCATAAAAGGAAAAGTTATATGTGCAGCTGAATAATTTTTGAATAATATAAATTGAATCTCCAGTGGGAAATTTTAATAATGAATCAACGAGTTCCCGAATTTCCCTGAAGCACCGAAATCGCAGAGAAAAATGCGCTGCGCCGGTTCTTGCCGCGGGCGTTCCGTATCCAGGTTTGAAAAGAAAGAAAAACAGTCGCACACCTCCCGAACACGGGACGCAACAGCTGCCGGCGATTTATTTTGGATTTGCCACGAGCTGCGAATACATGACGCCATGTGACACGATGCATACCTGCCTCGCGGGCTGAAACGAACGCCGGTGGGTCCTTACGGGGATGATGACTCGTGTTTTCAACCCCTTTCAAAGGGAGCTTCGTTAACTCGGATATTCTCGTTACCTTTGTCATCGTTGCCTGGCATTAATATCCAGATAATTACTGAACAAACCGTGTTTGGTTTTAACCAAAGCAAAGTTTTGGTTCATCTACATCCATTAAGGGTGCAAATCACCTTTAAACAATATTGTAACTTCATTTCAAAATGCACAAGATATACCAAAAAATGTTTTACAGATAGACATAGTAATATTGTATCAAAAACCGAATTTTCTTAATAAACAAGATTAATATTCCTGAACATATTATTTCACCTTTCAAAATCTAATCATAATTACACTGCAAATTTAACCCTTTGCACTCGGAAGCTTTTCACTAGAAACATCCGACACTTTCCGATGACATGACACTATTTGAAACGAACTAATGAGAAAACATATCTAAATTAAACAAAGCTGTATATAAATGTTTCACATATTGACGCAATTTACAAAATTTAATATTATATACAACACTTTGTAATTTTGTTATATAAAATCAAATGGTGAGAGTCACCTCTCGAGTGCAAAGGGTCAATACAACCACAAGGTACCTACACCTATAGCCTCCTTTATCTAAAAATCGGTGCCACAGATCCAAAAAGGAAAATCGCTATCGCAATGAAAAGTTCGAAAAATAAACAGTCACGGATGCGCAATAACCGGCGAAACAATCAATCGAAAGCTGTCCGACGAATGGCCGGGTCGTGCATCGGGAACCAAGATACGTCGAGAGAGCCCTGCGGAACTTACATAACTCAATCCGAAGCTGTGCCGATCGTTACTCGCGGGTGAAACACGGCTCAAAGCGTTTTAGCGCGCTCACAACACAAGCCGGCCTCTAATTTGTAACAATCGGCCGCTTAGAATAGACGATCGGGCCAGGACGACTTAATTGGTGCCGCGTCAAAGACTCCTCTGTGCGATCGGGCCACCGCGTGAAACGTGAAACCCCGCGTTTTCGAATCGCGGTGCATTATACCCGCGTACCCGGGCAAAAACTTCGAATATTGTTGCCCGCAATTCCTCCCCTTCCCGCCGTCGATTCTACCCGGTCCTTTTTCCCTCCGGTCTTTTTTCCGCCGTTTCTCCTCGGCCGGGCCGGCCTTTTAACATTCTACCCGCACTATCGCGCGAGCCACCGTACGTGTGCCCACTGCATTAAGCGCATCCTCGAATTCGCGTGCACCGAAATTACGTATTACGGTCGTTCTGCCCGCGAATGAATTTAGCTAACGTACGCGCGATCGTGCATACCGGGTGGTCCGGATTTCACCGAGCTGTTCTATTATTCGATTTGTCACGTTGCTCCTTCGTCAATCGAATTAACGATTCGCTATCAACCTTCCATTCTCATTAGAACATCTTCGAGTCTTACGTCTATATTGTCACTAACTATTAAACAGTATTTGGGGAAAGATTTCAGCCTGCTGCCCCAATATTTCTCTCGAACGTGAATATAAACACCGAGTACACTGATTACAATTAATCAACACCAAGAAACTCACTCTCTATATAAAACAGGAAATTCAACGTCGAAACTCTAACCTCGAAATCGAAATGAAAAATTCCACTCCAACAACCCCTATCTAAAGCATCTGAACACCGCGAGAAATACAGCAAAGTTCATTAAGAGCGCCTAATCGCCGTGGAGAGCGGCGCGCGAGAAATCAAAATCCTCTCGGGAAAAGAAACCGCGCCCTAATCGCATCTGCTCAATTACGCAACCCCAATTAAC